AGCCTTTCGAATGCTTTTGTCGAGTTCCTTGATGGTTTTTTCGAGAGCAGCTTCGTCTTTCAATTCTTCGGCGTCGAGTAATCTTTTAATTTCCTTCTTTGTTTGATCTACCAACTTGCCTTGTAAATGCCTGTAGTACTCAAGTTCTTGTTCTTTGCGAACTAATCTCTCAAGTCGCATTTTGGCGGCTTGTTCTTGTAATCTTCGACCACTCTCCTTTCTCTTCTCTGCGATCTTGGCTAACTCTTCTTCACTTTTTTGTACCTCGATGACTTCTGTATAAGGGTATTGAATGACACGGTCTCTATCTTCCAATCCTGTCCAATCGAGATACTTGCTCACTTCCTCATCATAATCTCGTGATAGATAACAATGATCTTGTACCATGTATTCCATTTGAGTAGCAGCTAGCTTTCCAGGAAAGCTAGGATACTTTAATTTGATGAGCTTTAAGAGGTATTCGGCGCTTTGTGATGCACCCCAATTCAATCTTGTTGCCTGGGTAAGCATAGCTTTCGACTTGTAAACCGGGATAAGATGTGTAGAGCTATGGGACGAAGATACAACAAGTCCTGTCTTGCCACCATTGTAGTCGTAAGAAAACAAAGAATCGATTCCGTAAGCCACAGATGGTGCTCCATAACATTCAAAGATTATTTCCGTCATAGCTACCCCATTTTGTTAGCAGAATTCGTAAGTTCAGTGGGAAGTCCACACATTTCCTTGAGTATGGTAAGTTTGCGACAGCTTCCGTCATAACAATAGGCATGTCCACACTTCCTTCTGAATCGACGCCCAATTTAAGAAAGATACAATCCAGTACCTGCTCCATAACATCCCAATTACTGACAATACCGCTTCCCGCCTCAAAGGCATTTCTCATGTGGCCCTTAGCTGTAGTATCTGCATAGACATCGGCGCCAACAAATGAATACGTTTTACCCATCTTCCTGTCTCTATATTTGGAGAATAGCGGCAAGATATTAAGACGCGGTGAGTCCTCAAAGGACCAGCCAGCTCGAGTCACCGATGAGCCTGTAGCAAAAAGTATTAGTATCTTTGGGATGTGGAAGTCATGATGCCCAGCGCAGAATTACCATTGTCAATTACTATCGCAGCTTGACCAGATCCCCGCGATTTAGCTGTTCGATATCCATCTGGCTGAGGTTCAACATATTTGTCAAAGTGAAGATCTTTCGCAGGATATAGAGTAGGAGGAGGTATTGAGTTCTGTTGCTCTGATGCAGGCGCATCGAGGTCCATGGCAGAGGGCGACATGTTCCTAGAGAGGTAGTGGTTGGTTTTCGCTGCGGTCTAAATCATTGTTTGTATACTCTCGCGGCCGAAAGAATCGATTAATAAATAGTACACGTATTGACGACAACCTCTCTAGTGGTAATTATTCCTCTTTATGATGTTGTCGCTTCACAAGGCTAGATTTTTGTGACAAGGCTGAGATGCATGTATCAGTTACATGTGGAGATCACGATTAACCTTACTCTATCTATATGTACAATCTACCGCACCAGATTTCGTAGGATATTTTTAAAGGTCGTGGAAATCATCTTTGTAAGTCATTAATCAGAAATCATTCTAAGCATCAACCTCCATCATTAAACGCCGGCTCCTTGCCCACAAAGACTCTCTTCAGTTCTATCATGATGGCTCCTTGAGACTGTCGGTAGCTTTCGACAGATTAGCATAAGTCTTGAGGCAGTTGAAAATTTAAAGCACCTTCTAAATGAAAGAGAACATTGGATTGATAGTTCTTGAACATATCTGCAACCAAAACAACATTTGTGTTTGCGTTATTGATCTCCTTATTCTGGTTCAGCTACATGTAACTATTAACCGGCGATTACTAGCCCACTCATACCTGAAGATTCTTGTTCAAAAGCATGATGGCTTCATTGAGTTTCTCCTAACAGTTGATTTAGTGTGATATCTTGGTGGGTGTGCTTAAAATACTTACTACATTGGTGATGATTCGAGAGAGAAGCAAGTTTTGCTGGTGCTCATGAGGGTTTTCCTACATAATGTTCATTATCCTGTAGAGAAGCTTGACATATTTAACCCTACCATAGTCTCTACTGCTGATGTGATTTGGGTCATGAAATGCGATGTTTGCCAAAGTCACTGTTTGGTTGGTGTTTATAGTAAACATTGGTACGAGTTCCATGCGTTGCCTGATTGGTCGGCTGTTGTGAAGCTCGAAGCTCGATCAACAAGGCGGAAGGAAGGCAGAGCAATTCAATTCAATTCAATTCAATTCAACTTCAATCAAACAATCATAAATCAACCACCAATCGTCATCAATCATGGCGCCAACAACTCCAGAAGCTGAAGCTCATCAAGCACTCGTCGAAAAGCTTGATGTCCACTCAATCAGAAAACCCTTTCGCAATACACACTGGAGACCTAACCAGCGTCGCAACAAGAATATTAAGACCATTCTCGGCGACGCCGTTCGAAAGGAAGCATCACTTATGCCGACACAAGATAACAGCGGTGCTGTGACACCCTTTTCTGAAGATAATGCGACCTCGACTGATGGTGATACGACACCTGCCTCTACGAGCGCTCCTACACTTCAACCAAATCTCGCGCAAGCTTCCAAAAACTTATCGAAATTGGTATTGGAACGAAATATGAGGACGAACGGCTTTTCTAATGCACCTACTGCGACATACACTAATATTGAATCGGCACCATCTCTGGCACATTCAAAACATTATTGCGATATCACAGGATTACCAGCTCCATATACAGATCCAAAGACGAGGCTACGATATCACAACAAAGAGGTGTTTGGGGTTGTTAGGTCTTTAGGTCAGGGAGTTGCAGAGCAGTATTTAGAAGTACGAGGAGCCCATACTATCTTGAAGTGAAAGGCGACGATAGTGCACTACATTGGAGCATTTGGAAAAGGTGTAATTCTCGGCCTGGGCTTTGCTCTACATACGGTTCACCATCTCCGAAGAATGGCAAGCGATGCGAGATGCGCAAAGGTTCAGAATGGTTTGGCTACTTGACTATATCGGTGTATATATACTGGCAGAAGGATCGAGGGGGCAAGGACAGACTTCTAGGTGGAAGATTTGTATGATTGAGATGGATAGAACCAGCCTTTAAGGCGCTTGAAGAAGAAGAAGAAAGGGCCAAGAACGGTCGAAATCAGTACGAGGATATGTCTGACCGACAAAGTCAAGCTCATTCTACCCACCAATCATCTTTCAATGATTGGTTCAGGAATACGCTCCGGCTTAATCGCGATCATGAATATTATCTGCCTACTCGAGTAGAGATGACGTGGTACCGAGAACATATAGAGAATGAAACTCAGTCACCAGGACAAATTGTCCTAGTTCGTCGTGGCAATCATAATACTTTACCTCGTGCAAGTGTGCAATAGGATTGATACTTCGGAGGCAGGTGAAGAGAGGCCTGAAAGAGTACATACCCTTTGCATTTTCTTCCACATCTTGTTAGTTGACATATTAACACATCTCATGTTTTATCCAATATCACTAATCGAAGTATCTATTGTGATTCTTTCCATATCTTCATTTCAAAGAATGGCTTTGGTTAAGAGTGTCAGACTAGATAGAACTCGAGAATTCGAGTAAAATTTATATTTAAGCTTTTGTGGTCATGACGCTAATTCATGTCATGAGCACGGACGCGTCTAAGCCGCGTTCTTTCAATGAATTCCAACAAAAGATCATTAAGGACAGCTTTACTTCAACTACCTACCAACTGTTATATTACGAGTGTGTCTTGTAGAAATACTCAAATACTTACGCATTTCTAATTCCGGGCTCGGAAGATATTCAAAATGCCTACCATGTGGTTGTCAGATTCCCAAAGTACGTTCTTGACTTCAACAGCCAGATGGTTCTGGACTATTTGCGCCGAGTTCAATGGATCCAGTTCCAAACATGCTATATTATCTGGTAGGGGTTATGCTAATGGATGCTTCGTATAGAGATTGGGGTAGCCTTTTGTTCAGGTGGTAGGTGAAATTCTACGGTTTGTGCTTCGGATCTAGTATAGCTGATGAGGTCTTGAAAGGCGGGTTCTTCCTGATCGGAGGTGTTATGATGTTTTTTGATAGAGCTATGTAAGTTTGAACTCTCCGTAAGATCCAAAGGAAGGTGATACTAATAAACTTGTAGGCTCGCAATGGGAAATGTGAGTATTCTCGGGACCTTGAAACAGCGCTTCCTGGCTTACAATATGTCGATATAGATTCTCTTTTTAATCGGCTTAACTGTTATAATTGGACCACAAAAAACAATGGCGTTCTTTGCACGGAAACAAAAGCTTAAGGGGACTGGAGCCTTTTTTGCTGGACTTGCACTCATCCTCATGAGATGGCCATTTACAGGATTTCTGGTGGAATTATACGGCATATTTATCTTGTTTGGTGACTTCCTAGGGACTATAGCTGGGTTCGCAAGGAATATACCGATTATTGGCCCATACATCGGAGCTATGGTTGATAGAAGCGGAGTTGCAATGAGGGGAGCAGAGTTGCCTGTTTGAGAAATGGGACAGGCAGAAACCCACGAAATCTCAACAAGAACTACGAAGGAACACGGAACATGTACACGATGTTATGGGACGAGATGAGCTGAGCTTATATGACGCTATGTCCTAGTTTTTACGACGATTTAGATTGTATATGAAAAGGGGCACCAAACTGGCTCACACCTGGGCCTCTAATGAGGTATAGACTAGATGGCAAACAGTAAAGTAGAGCATATGCTCCTTTATATTTCGCCAATGGATGATGAGGAAATATTGAAGACCACTAGGCATTTGTATTTGTACCATTCAAGTATTAAGACGTCGTCTTGAAAGTTAAGCCACTTTGCGACCTCACTCGCCAATATTCCCGAACCTCAAACTGCAATTTACATCCTCCAATCGAAACAATGTCTGCGAGAATGCTATCAAAAAAAAAGATGAGAACGCCAAAGCTAACTAAATACATCAATCTACATAGCCACGCAGCATGAGTTCTGCTTCTTTGCTTGTGCTATTTTATAAATTAGTAAAAGCCCATATAAATTTCAATCGTAACCTGATAGACTCACTATAGAACATCTTGCTCTGCGCACTCAAGCCATCACTCTTCGCCACCAATGTATCAATCTTCTCGCCTCTCTCTAATACACTCTCAATAGTCTTGTGCAACACAATTTTCGTCTCATCCAATTCCTTTTGGATCTTCATGATGCTATCTGCCTGTTGCGGGTCTTGGTATTTCACAATATAGTCGTTTAATTCAGGGAATGAGAGGGTTGGGTTTGAATCGGCCCATTCTGATCGAGGGTGTGCATTTAGAAACTCGTCGACGACTTTGGAGAGAAGTTGATGGGCAACGAGAGCTGGGTATTCGTGGTCGGAAATTATTATACCACAGACACCTTCGGAACGTCCATAGGCGTGAAATGTGTTACCTGATGTTGTCAGATAGAGGGTCTTGTTGTAATGTGGAGAAGTTGAGATTTACTATCTTGTTCAATGTCTTGTCTCTGGCCAGGCTTTGTTCGTTCAGCGACGGTCTTACTGAAAACCGTCATGAATTCGCCATAACTGTACACTCATCCTATCAACCAGCCTGATCCCATGCAGAAGATTAGTAGTAATCTTACCTGTTTCTAGTAAATCGCCCGTATGCGCTCAACTCTTTCACGCAGCAGAGCTCGTGTGAGGGGGTCTCTGAGTTCTTGATTATCTGATAGCGGTCAGCCTGATAACATTGTCACTGTGATATCTGCGAACGAACTCCGATATAATGCAACTTCATTTTCGCGATTTGGGGTTGATTGTAAGAGTGATTGAAGTCTCGATAGCAAAATAAGGTGTAGGTTTGGAAGGATGTGGCTTTGCTTTGTTCTTGATGTTGAAACTCAGGGCTGTATCCTGTACAATCACATGGGGGTTACAGTATGACGACGGATTTTATTATGCCCGGTTGGCCCCACCGATTACTCCCCGCCGCGTGAATCAGCTGAAGCAGCTTTATTTATATTTCATGAGAGCTAGAACTAAAATCTTCATTAAACTTCACATTTCCAAGAAGTTGGTAAAGATTGTTCGGGTATCATGTCTCCTTCAACGCTGGATTCGGCTGAAGTGCAATGGCAAGCCCAACTTGCTGCTATGAAAAACGCCTTGGCAGAGTTGAATTTGCCTCCGAGCTCGACAAACGGGGATACTAAGTCATTTGATATCGACGTTGAGTTCGACGACGACGATGAATTTACTTCCGGAAACAGCGGTGATGACGTTTGGGACTTCATCAGTGACGAGGATGATGATTTGTCCAGCAGTGATGTCAACGACGATTTTCCTAGTCTTTCTGACTCTGCTGGTGCAGGCAATTATGGACCTCAATGGTTGAAGAGCAAATGTATGGAGATTGCTCAGAGGAAGCAGGGACTTTCAGGAAACGACCTCCAGGAACAAATCATGGCAATTTTAGGGTCTGATAGTGGAGAGGAAGAGCTTCAATCCACTTTGATTGACATGATCGGCTTTGATGATATCGAATTTGCCATTGAAGTCATCTCCCACCGTAAGGATATTACCGCCGCTTCACGTTCTATTGGAACTCAAGATGACGGCATCTTTACTGGAAAGTTACAGACCAGGAAGGAACGAGAAGCGGCCTTAAGACAGAGAGATTATGAGCATAAAAATGCCGCACTAGGACCGTCCATTAATCGCGGCGAAGAAAAATACCCCCACGTTTACAAGTCGCATCATGCTGGTAATATCCTGGATTCGAGAGGAAAGAAGTATGCTCTACCGGTAGGCAGTGAAAGAACAGAACACGAGAGATACTCAGAGTATACTGTCCCGGCTGGAAAGGTTGGAACTTTAGGTGCAGGTCGAAGACTTGTCGAGATTTCTGAGATGGATGGCCTTTGCAAGAAAACTTTCAAGGGTTACAAGTCTCTCAATCGAATGCAGAGTTTGGTCTATCCAATCGCATACAAAACCAGCGAAAACATGTTGATTTGTGCTCCCACTGGTGCTGGTAAAACTGATGCAGCAATGCTTACGATACTTCACGCCATAGGAGAAAACGTTTCACCACACCCATCAGAGAATCCCGAATCCTCAGACTTTGTGGTTAATTTCAATGACTTTAAGATTGTCTATGTCGCCCCAATGAAAGCCTTGGCAGCCGAAATAACACAAAAGCTAGGTAGTCGTCTAGCGTGGTTGGGTATACAAGTTCGCGAATTTACTGGTGATATGCATCTCACTAAAAAGGAAATTACACAGACTCAAATTATCGTTACAACTCCTGAAAAATGGGACGTAGTCACTCGGAAAGGCACTGGAGATACTGAATTGGTTCAAAAGGTTCGACTTTTGATTATTGATGAAGTACATATGCTTCATGATGATCGAGGTTCTGTCCTAGAATCATTAGTTGCCCGTACTGAACGTCAAGTCGAGAGCACCCAATCTCTCATCCGTATTGTGGGACTATCTGCTACCCTTCCGAACTATATCGATGTGGCCGATTTCCTCAAAGTTAATCGGCATGCGGGTCTGTTTTACTTCGACGCTAGCTTTAGACCTGTACCTCTCGAACAGCATTTCATTGGTGTCAAAGGGAAGGCTGGAACCAGGCAATCGCGAGAGAATATTGATACAACTGCGTTCGAAAAAGTCCGAGAGATGCTGGAACTTGATCATCAAGTCATGGTCTTTGTTCATTCAAGGAAGGACACTTTCAACACTGCTAAGATGTTATATGAGAAGGCTATAGAGCAAGTTTGTGTAGACCTATTCGATCCCACTCATCATCCTCAATATGAAGCAGCTGTAAAGGATATGAAGAGCTCACGAGGTCGTGAACTTCGGGAGTTAGTGCCAAAAGGTATTGGTATTCATCATGCAGGTATGGCTCGTTCAGACAGAAACCTGATGGAGAGGCTGTTTGGAAGTGGTGTCCTCAAAGTCCTTGTCTGTACAGCTACCTTGGCATGGGGTGTCAACTTGCCTGCTGCAGCAGTCGTAATCAAAGGCACACAAGTTTACAGTGCCCAAGAAGGCAAATTTATCGACCTAGGAATTCTGGACGTTCTTCAAATCTTCGGTCGTGCAGGTAGACCACAATTTCAAGATACTGGTATTGGTATGATTTGTACGACAGCAGATAAGCTTGATCACTATCTCCAGGCCGTCACATCTCAAGTCCCTATCGAGTCTCGATTCTCGAAACATCTTGTGGATAATCTTAACGCTGAGATCGGTTTGGGGACAGTCACCTCGATTCCTGAAGCTGTCGCATGGCTTGGATACTCTTATTTATTCGTTCGAATGAAGAGAGATCCTTTGACTTATGGTATCGATTGGGCTGAAGCTCGCGATGACCCAAATTTGGTACAGCGTCGAAGACAACTTTGCATTCAAGCAGCAAAGACACTCCAGCAAAGCCAAATGATTATCTTCAATGAAACGACCGAGGAGCTCAGAAGTAAGGATGTTGGACGTATTGCAAGTCAATTTTATGTCCTCCACACCAGTATTCAGATTTTCAACACCATGATGCAACCTCAATCTTCCGAAGCTGATGTTCTCACGATGATTGCTATGAGTGGAGAGTTCGATCAAATTCAATCCAGAGATAGCGAATCAAAGGAGCTTACCAGCTTGAGAGAAGACTTTTCTCCTTGTCAAGTAAAAGGTGGAACTGATTCCTCGCACGCCAAAACGAACATTCTCTTACAATCTTACATATCTCGAGCAAAGCTTGAGGACTTTGCTCTAGCCAACGACACAAACTACGTTGCTCAGCAATCGGCCAGAATTTGCCGTGCCTTGTTCATGATTGCTTTGAATCGTCGTTGGGGACACCAATGTCTCGTGCTCCTCTCACTATGCAAGTCAATCGAGAAGAGAATTTGGCCATTCCAACATCCTCTTCATCAATTTGAGCTAGCCCAGCCAATTCTTAAACAGCTTGATGACAAAGAAAATCTTTCCATTGAAACTCTAAAAGAGATGGATGCAGCTGAGATTGGTGCGATGGTACACAATCCTGGTGCTGGAAGGACAATCTCAAGGATTCTTGATAACTTTCCTACACTCAGCGTGGAAGCCGAAATTGCTCCACTGAATAGAGATGTTTTGAGAATCCGTCTTTACCTCACGCCGGAGTTCAAATGGAACGATCGCCACAACGGTACATCGGAAAGTTATTGGATTTGGGTTGAGAACTCGGAGACTTCTGAAATTTACCATCATGAATTTTTCATTCTGAATAGGAAGAAGTTATACGATGACCATGAACTCAGCTTCACTATCCCACTGTCGGATCCGCTCCCCACGCAGATCTATGTAAGAGCAGTTTCTGATAGGTGGTTGGGTGCCGAAACTGTGTATCCAATTTCTTTTCAACATTTAATCAGACCCGACACTGAGAGTGTGTACACTGATCTTTTGAATCTTCAACCTCTACCAATTACTGCCTTGAAGAACCCGGCTCTAGAAGAGATTTATGGCAAACGTTTCCAATTCTTCAATCCTATGCAAACTCAGATCTTTCACACTTTGTATCATACACCAGCAAATGTTCTTCTTGGATCACCAACCGGATCTGGAAAGACTATTGCTTGTGAGTTGGCTATGTGGTGGGCATTCCGAGAGAAGCCTGGCTCTAAGGTTGTCTATATCGCCCCCATGAAAGCACTTGTTCGAGAGCGAGTCAAAGATTGGGGAGCTAGATTAACTCGACAAATGGGCTTGAAGTTGGTCGAGTTGACTGGTGACAACACACCTGATACGCGAACTATTCGAGATGCGGACATCATTATTACTACTCCAGAAAAATGGGATGGTATTAGTCGTTCGTGGACTACGAGAGGTTATGTTCGACAAGTTAGCTTGGTTATTATTGATGAAATTCATTTGCTTGGTGGAGATCGTGGTCCTATTTTGGAGATCATTGTTTCTCGTATGAATTACATTGCAACTCAGACCAATAACTCAGTCAGACTTATGGGTATGTCGACTGCGTGCGCCAATGCTATGGATCTAGGAAACTGGCTTGGTGTTAAGGAAGGATTATTTAACTTCAGGCATTCCGTTAGACCTGTTCCATTGGAAATTTTCATCGATGGTTTCCCAGAGGTTCGAGGCTTCTGCCCGCTAATGCAATCCATGAACAGACCGACTTTCTTGGCCATCAAAACGCACAGTCCAGAAAAACCGGTCATTGTTTTTGTTGCTTCTCGTAGACAAACACGTTTGACAGCTAAGGACTTGATTAACTTCTGTGGTATGGAAGATAATCCTCGTCGATTTGTCAAGATGTCTGAGGAAGATCTCCAACTGAACCTTGCCCGAGTCAAGGATGACGCTTTGAAAGAAGCCCTGAGTTTTGGCATCGGTTTGCATCATGCTGGTTTGATTGAATCTGATCGTTCATTGGCCGAAGAACTATTTGCCAACAACAAGATTCAGATCCTAGTTGCAACATCCACTCTTGCATGGGGTGTCAATCTTCCAGCTCATTTAGTCGTTGTAAAGGGTACTCAATTCTTCGACGCTAAGACCGAAGGATACAAAGATATGGACTTGACAGATGTTCTACAAATGCTGGGTCGTGCTGGACGTCCTCAATTCGATACGTCAGGAATTGCTCGTATCTTCACTCAAGATTCAAAGAAAGCGTTTTACAAACATTTCCTACACACAGGTTTCCCAGTAGAATCATCTCTTCACAACGTCCTAGACAACCATCTTGGCGCCGAAGTATCCGCTGAAACCATTACCACCAAACAAGATGCTCTAGATTATCTAACCTGGACATTCTTCTTCCGACGTCTCCATAAAAACCCTTCATACTATGGTCTTGAAATCTCAGCCGAAGAGCACAATACCATTGCTGCTCAACAAATGGCCAATGATTACATGATCTCAATGGTAGATAAATCATTGGACGAGCTCGCCGAATCTAAGTGCCTGGAAATCTACCCCAATGGCAACATCGATTCTACCCCTCTCGGAAAAATCATGTCTTACTACTATCTTTCTCACAAAACGATTCGTCACCTAGTTAAACATGCTAAACCAAATGCTTCATTCCGCGATGTACTTTCTTGGATGTCTTCTGCAACAGAATACGACGAGCTCCCCGTTCGCCATAACGAAGATCTCATTAACATTGAACTTTCCAAGAACTTACCTCTCCCAGCAGATGCAGCACATTTCAATGGACTTCCAATGTGGGATCCTCACGTGAAAGCATTTTTGCTGCTTCAAGCCCACATGAGCAGGATTGACCTTCCCATCTCTGATTATGTAGGTGATCAAACTAGTGTCCTCGATCAAGCTATCCGTATCATTCAAGCTTCCATTGATGTCCTTACAGAATTGGGATATCTATCAAGTGTTGTGCAAATGATCACTTTACTTCAATGTATCAAATCAGCTCGTTGGCCCGAAGACCACGCTTTATCTATTTTCCCTGGTGTAGCTCCTGATTTCGAATCATCCAAGGACAACGACATTCCTACATCACTTCAACAATTCTCAGCCCTACCTCAAAACGTGTATCAATCTCTCAAAAACAAACTACAGCTTCCAAGTAGAAATACACAAGCTTTTGATAAAGCAGCAAATATGATACCGAACTTGAAAATCGAAGTACAAAATGTTACGGCGTTGAAAATGGACGTTGTGATCAAGAGACTCAATGGATTAGTGGATAAAGAGGGTAAAATGTATGCGCCTCGATTCCCCAAAAGTCAGAGTGAGGGATGGTTTGTTGTGCTTTGTAGCAAAGGAAGTGATGAGGTGGCTGCTATTAAGAGATTGGGTTGGAGTGCTCCTAAGACCAACTTGAAGGGTAAAGTTGCTCAGGATGGAAATGTTGGCAATGGAGATGAGGGAAAACAAAATACCAGTGTGATAGGCGTAGGAGTCAAACCTCAAGCAAAAGCAACACTTAAATTTCCTGGAACGGAAGAAGGAGAGGAGGGAAATATTATGGATGGGAGAGTATTCGATGTTTGGGTTGTCAGTGATGGATACAAGGGGTTGATTTATAAGGTCGAGGGTGTAGAGGTACCAGATGTTATGAAGGTTAGGGTTGAGGATGAGGGTAAGGGGAAAGATGGAAAGGGAAAGGGAAAATGAGAAAGGTGATGGTAGTCGGTGTGGGGGGATGATAAAGTAAATAGATGCATATATCAATATGAACACACGAACGCGTACACCAATATACAAAATGAAATATTAAATCATGATATACCCACCATTTAAGATTTTTTTGGATCAAAATCCCTCTCTATGCTGAACATGAGATCTTGATTGACGTTTATCAAGCGGTGGGCCAAACTAGATATGAAGTTCATATCATTTTCCATAAACACCTTCTATCTTTGCTATTTCTTAGCTCAATTCCGACTCTTCGGCGGAAAGCTTGTCTTGAATGAGAATACACAATAGCAACAGTTAGACTTTGCGATCAAGAAACTGGATGAAATTATTCAAACACTTGGGTAGAGAGATTAGACACAGGCGGCACACTATGTAGGTAAGATCAACTGTTTGAAATTTGAATGGGTTGGAGTATCTTTACCCCTCCTCAATTAATTATTCTGAGATATATAAATCCATCATTAAAAATACCACTTTATGTCTCATATTCAACATTTTATGTGTATTCAAGTTGTATGGAACAGTATTTGATTTTGAAGATTTCTTTGGCCTATTTCAGAAATTCAGAAATTCAGATTTACAGATGAGAAATATGAGTACCCTCATCGCCAGTCTAATATCTCCCGAATTATCATTCAAAGAATGGGGTTTTGCCATCCTCGTAATATTCATTCTCGTACGCATCCATAAACAAAACCCCCTAACATCATATCATATCACATCCCACTCACCACCCCCACCCAGTACACCACCACCCACTCTCCTCCTTCCCCGGTCCCCTCCCCTGGACTCTCACCCGTATCCCCTACCTCCTCTCCCTCTGGCGCGGACGTCTCGCCCTCGACATCCACCCCCTCCACCAAAAATACGGTCCCATCATACGTATCGCCCCCGACGATCTCTCTTTCGCAACTCCACAGGCCTGGCACGATATCTTTCTAATCAAGGCGGGGTTCCTGCCTTCCCAGAACGTAAACTCTGGCATGGAAGGAAACCCGGGTCTGGAAAACCAATATCCATTCTTCATGCATTGGAACCTTCCCCACATCGGAAATTTCGACGGGCGATGGAGCGCGCGTTTACGGAGAGGGCGGCGGGGGGACAGGAGGTGATTATGAGGGGGTATATCGATTCTCTCCTTAGGCGATTGTAAGATCCCGTATTAGCAGAGGAGAATGCAGATGCATCTGAAGGTGCCGTTGTAGATATAGTTCGCTGGTATGTATTCTTTCCATTTGATCTCATTGGGGATCTGGGATTTGGAGAATCCTTCCAATGTTTAGAGAGCGAGACATATCATCCTTAGGTCTCGATGATAATTAATTCGCTACGCGCAGCGACGCATGCAGCTTCGCTGGGGTGTTATCCGGGAGTGAGTTGGATACTTGGGTTCTTTGTTCCGAAGAGTGTATTGCAGAAACAGAGGGATCATTGGAATTTAGCCGTTGAGAAAATAAATCGATACTGGGGAGAGAGACTCCCAGAGCGGATATTGTATCTCTGATTAAACGCGATGAGGAGGGGAAAGAAGGATTAACGATTCAGGAATTGCAAGCAACAGCTAGCGTGATCATTGTTGCGGGAGGCGAAACGACCATTACGGTCCTGAGCGGAATAACGAATTATCTCATGAACAACCCTCTGAAACTCTCCCTCCTCACCTCGGACATCCGAGAAAAATTCATGAAAGAAGAAGAGATATCAATAGCTACGCTGAAAGAAACATCCTACTTAAACGTAGTCATCCAAGAAAGTTTCCGACTCTGCAATCCCACGTAAGAAACCCCATTCATTCATTCTCTTCCCATCCTCTCATATCCCCAACCTAACCTAACAAAAAATCCACATACAAAGTCCCGTTAGTCTCCCACGCATCGTACCCCCAGGCGGCGGCCGCGTCTGCGGACACGACCTCCCAGAAAAGATATTCGCTAACGTGCACCCCCTATCCATCTCCCCATCATGTAAATATTTCCACAAACCATCTGAATTTCACCCCGAGAGATGGCTCGCAGCAAATGATTCTTCGTCTCCTTTTTATAACGATAATCGTAACGCCGTACAAGTTTTTGGCGTGGGTCCTCGTTCTTGTAATGGGAAACCTTTGGCGATGGCGGAATTACAACTTCTGCTAGCGAGGATGGTGTGGAGATTTGAGATGGAGAAGGTAGATAGTGAGGCGGAGAACTTGAAATGGGAGGAACAGAGAGTTTTTATCAATTGTCGAACGGAAACCTTTTGAAGTGAGATTAAGAACACGCTCGTTACTACGATAGTTTGATGTATATAGCTCCTTCGAACGGCTTTCCCCTCCAACCCTCCGCTATTTCCCATCTGCCCCAAAATAAAGAGTTTTCACAGTTGAAAAACAAAAACCTCTCAAGGTGAAGCTCTAAGAACACATAATTCGATACCACAGTAGTTTGGTTCATGTCTTTCCTTCAAACTACTATCCTCCTCCTACCTACCCTTTGCTAATCTCCACTCACCTAAACCTTTTGCATTGACATTTGAAATAAAAGGTTAAGAGATTTTTTATTATAATTGCAAATTAGAAGACTTGTGAAATGTAGCTCAAGGCACAACTCGATGATATGATAGTATGAAATGAGTAGATTATTGAAAATATATCGCTCAATTATATCTACACCAGATCTTCTTGACATAGGCCTTGGAATGGTCCATCTCTGTAGTGATACTATCACCATTATCATCACTATGATACATCACTGGTCTCACGAAACCATGTATAAAAGATCTCATAATCTGACAGAAAAGAATTACAATATGCTATCATCATAAACTAACTAACAACCATCTAGCCCACGACCGAATGATCGATCCATCTACCATCTAATCTAAGTGTGATGGTCCATCCATTTTTTCATCTATCATTCCAGCAGATGCATGCGTTCTTATAAACATACTCCGACGCCCGCAAAACAAAGCAAAGCCTTTGATCAATACCCGCCCATCAACTCATTATCATTTTCCCTTCAAATGATCTAATCCTCAACCCAATTCAATTAATGAGTTCCGTTAACACCATTTGTCTCTGTTTCCACCTCATCCCCACTGGGTTCCTCGTAACCATCTTGGTATTTATCCCAATTGGCCAACACATTGCCAATCTTTGGACTGTTAGTCAAACGATAAACATCCTCGAAATATTCCTTGGTCAATTCGAAAGGTCTAGCTGTAACATTAGGAATGTATTTTCCAATTAATTTGCTAGGATCGATAGTTGTCTTGTTAATTTTCTTGAGCAAGAAACTTCTGAATGGCTTGACTCCACTTCTCAAGAATGTGGAGTGGAAAGGTACATCAATACCCTTGAGAGGGATGGTAGCGAAACCTCTTTGGAGATCAAGGGGTTTGGGCTTGGCTTCGGTTTGTTTAGCACATTCGCGAATGATTTCGACGAGGTGTGCTTTGACGTCATCGAGACTCAAAGTTTGCATGAGCTCTTGGATGTCGATCTTTTGAGCTTTGAGGTAGTTGGTCACACCAGTAAGCGTGTCAAGAGCTCTGAGATCACCAGCGCAAACGTATTGCATGTTGGCAATGTTGTAGTTGACGATTTCCAATAACCAGCTAGTTTCTTCAGCAATGTTTGCAACAACATATTGAAGGGCTTCTTCGTTGAAGGTCTTGGAAATTCTGCTAGGGTTGACAGCACACATAGAGTAATTGGATCTTCCAGAGGCATCACGTTCGACAGCGACTTGCATAGTCAAACCTCTGTAGAAGACGACAGACACCAAACTCTCAATTGGCATGACATCTGCCAAAGCAGCAAGGGCAGAATATTCTCCGAGGGAGTGACCAGCGAAACTGCTATCACGTTGAACAAGACCCTTGGAGCGCATGTCTTCAAAACTTGCCTTCTCCATCAATGTCAAAGCTGGTTGTGTGAATTGAGTGGCAGAGAGAAGACCAGTTGGTGATCTGTAGGTGTAAGATGTAGTACGTTCGTCGACTTCCTTGAACATCTTCTCGGACTTGGTAGAACCATCGGCACCAACAGTTTCGAAAGTCATAGACATGTAGTTTTGACGAATTGCCTTACCACGAGGACCACCAAAGTGAATAGTGAGTTCCTTGGGGTTGTTCTTGACAATGTTGGTGATGGCGAAACCTGATGTATTGTTAGAAATGATGTCATAAAAAGTGAATTGAGTAACTTGCCATAGTTGTCCATGAAATGCTTGTCGGCACGATCCCATACTTCTTTGGCGACAGGACTGCTAGCATACAACTCCATACCCATACCTTGTTCTTGAGAACCTTGACCAGTGAACACATAGGCCGAGACTGGTTGTTCGACTTCGGCCTCACCAAGTAAGACCTTATCTTCAGTCTCCTTGTTGCTAGCCTCAACCTTGATGATCTTACGACCAGCAACCATACCGACATGTTGTAGCTTGACTTCGATATCATCATTTGGAAGAACCATACCTGTCAGTTGAGCGTGGAAACTGCGAACACGACCAACGTGATTCTCTGCAGCCCAGGTCTCGACTAAGCTGCGAACAGCTGCACTTGAGTACATACCATGGGTGATAGTACCAGGCAGGTTTGCGTAGCTGGAAAAGACACGAGAAACGTGAATAGGGTTGTAATCACCCGAGACACGAGCATAGGTTTCGTTGGATGTTGGTGCTCTCAGAGAGAGAGGAGTCTTGCCATTGAGAGGGATGGGGTTCTCGAAGTTAATTGGTTGTTCAATTGAGGATCCATGACGCTCAAGGTAATCAATGACTGGGTTGCCATGAGAAACGCCAGCTTCGTACTCGACGCTTGCAACTTGGATGATCTCCTTGGTTGGAAGCTCCAACAAAACTTGACCTCTAGTCTCAACACTTGAGAAAACGGTCTTGTTCTTGAAGCGGACAAGACTCTCAAGACGGAAAGTCAAGGTTTGACCAAGCAACTCGTGATCTGGCTCATCCAAGTTGAACCACTCCTTAGATCTCAAGACAGCAACGTCCTTCGAGGTAGCAAGATGGATTTGCATAGGTGTCTCAGTCTTACGCTGGAAGGTATTCTCGAAATCGGTGTAAGCACCTCTGTACAAGAATTGTGAAGTAACCTCCATTACTGGTTTGCCTTCTCTGGTAATGGTACCGCATACCTCGACCATCTTACCAGAGTCTTGGTTAAGAACAGCATTGATCTGGGCTGTAGTCTCAACTTCGTCACCCTTCTTCAATGGCTCAGCTCCAGGGATCATGCGGAACCCGTTAGAAAGATGCACGAGTTTGAGAAGATCACCATCAATTGTTCTAGGGAAGATTGGCTTGGTAATGGCCTTCCATCCAACAACGATAGCAAAATCCATAGGAGCGAAAACCTCCTTACCAGGTCGGTCCACGAAAGCTTCTCCGGTGTTTCCAACAGCGTGAACAAAGTCGTTAATAGCTTCGCTGGTGATGGTAGCTTTACCACCATTGAAAATGCCAGTGACTGAAGCGTCAAGGTCAAGAGTCTCACCGCCGAACCAGGCTCGCCAGTAGAATTCCTTAATACGGTCATTTCTATCATTCATGACTTCACGAATTGGAGCATAACCAGCCTCAGGATGGTATGTGAACTTCAATGGAAGAGATACTGGCTTGCCGACGGCAGTTGTGTCTTTGACCATGTTGACCAAGATCTCGTTCTTGCCAACCAATTTCGCGTCAATTACTGTAACGTAGTGATTTGGTCTAGGTTGCTCCTTGACGGTGATTACGGTCTTTGAAGGGTCGTTAGGATAAGCGATCTCAACAAAAAGACCCTTGACAGGAGAGAAGATTCGTTTCATTGGGTTTGTTTGGAATTTTTGTCCTTGAACAAATACCTCTGAAGTGAAGAGAGCATGTCGCCAAGATCTCTTACGGCCTGCAAGTAACGAGAGCCAAGCCTCGAGAGATGGTAGAACAGCAGTGGGAGAGTATGACAATCGGTAAGTGGTCTTGTCAGTATCTTCTGAAATTGTGAGACCTTCAACGTCGACCTCCTCCTCAGTTTCAATGAGCTTGCCACCAAAGTATTCAAGCACTGGGATAGAGGATTCATCTCCACCGTAGATATCTTGGGTTAAAAACTTAATGTGTGCGTTGTGAACACCGTCGAGAATTTCCTTGATTGGCTCGTCGACAACCTTTGAGTATTTGACAGCCATTGGACCTTGCAAGATACAGGTTCTGCCTACATCTTGACCGATGACAGCCTCGAGATCTTCAGATTGCCAAAGAGAATCTTTCTTGAAGAAGAACTCAAAGTTCTCGTCAAGAGATGGCACGAAAGTAGTTGGCTTTTGACCTCTACGTTGGCAAAGCATAAGGAAGTGCTGAACATCTTGAGCGTTGATGAGTTGTTTCTCCGATTCTGGATAAGCAGCTAGGATCTTTTCCACAGCTGGGTTAGGATCTTCCAAATCTGCGTAAGATTGGAGTTTGGATGGCTGTCCTTGACCAGTTGTGAAACGCTCCTCAACACGGCGAATAAAGTCACCAGTGAGCTTGATGTATGATTTGTCGATCCAACGAGACTCGTGCTTGACATACATCAAATCTACCATTCTGCGAACAACTTCACCATATGTCATGTCCTCAAGATCAACCGTCTCCCCAGCTTTGTTACGTCCAAACCAAACCTTTTGAAAATCATCATTCAACTTCTTGATGATGTAATCACGGTTCTTCTTCAACTCAGGTACTCGCTTTTCTTTTGGTAAACTGAAGATCTTGGCATCCATCTCAGCCCAGAATTTAACACCACGAGTCGCCAACTTGTGAATTGGCTCACCCATTTCAGATCGAACAGTGATAACCCCACCGGCAGGGCCCTTGTAGGTCTTCTCCCATGCGGCATCATCAAGACCTTCAGCTTCAGTGATGGCTTTCTTAGCATTTTTGCTGGTATATGCTTCCTTAGCTGTCATCACACGACTGCCAAAGAGACATCCATCGAATGGCATTGGGGGGTAGCCATAGTTCTTTGACCATGCACCGGTGAGATAAGGATAAGTGTCTTCTGCGCCACCGAAACCACTACCCGCGATCAAGAGAACGTTCTCCTGTCTTCTGATGCGCGAGTACATTGAAAGAATTGGTTGATGGAAATCCTCGAAGGAGTGATGTCCACCTCCACGTCCTCCAGTCCATTGAAGAATGACTGGGAAAGTTGGGTTGGCCTTTGCAATATTGATAACAGCTTGAATGGCGTCCATGGATCCTGGCTTGAATGCGATATGTT